CCCCCTCCCCCTCCCGCCCAGCTTCCACGGCGATAGGACCGTGGATAGCGGCTTCTCGAGGAGGGGGCTGCGGGGAGGGGGCGGTGCACGGGCTGCCCGGGTACTCACAGAGGTCCTCGTCGGCCTGCAGCTCCCTCATGTCAGTCGCGCTGCACGACACGCACTCGCACGCACTGTTCCACACTCGCGGCCTACAGGAGGCGTCCCCCACACGCGGCCTGCCGGTGAGCTCTCGGTGACGCGCGCTGCACTGCTGCACCTGCACGACGACGACCAGCGGGTCGAGACCAGAGACGGGGAGGTCCGCGGGGCTCGGCCGGTGCCTTGTCGCGGGAGACACGTCCGGATCCCCGCGAAGTCGCTTCTTGACTGACTGTTGACGGCCGGGCCGGGCCGGCTGAGCGCGCGGAGCGGCCGGCCGCCGGCGCGGTGGCGGGCCTGCGCCCCCCTCTCTCTTTCTCTCTCCCTCTCTCTCTCTCACACACCTGTAGCCGGACCGGGGCGCCGGCGGCCCGAGAGAGAAGATACTTTGCACAAGCCGTTTAGCGAACGCGGACCTCCAACGACCCCCCGGACCCAGTAGGGAGGGGCCGAGGCGAAAACTCGAAAACTAAAAGACAAACAGGGCGCAGGGGAACCATTCCTTTCGTTCGCACCTATGACCTACCTTACGCGGGCATCGTTCGGTCCAGGGGTGGCCCCCCTCCCCCCGTCTCTCCGACTTCGACCGTCTGAAGGACCCTTTGGTTAGCGTCGTCAATGCAAATGGACTGGGATGCGGAAGCGACCAATCACAGCCAGGGATTGGTACGGGGGATTGGGGGTGCGCTTCTCTCCTCTGCTCCAAGTTTATTCCACCCCGCAAAGTCAACAAACTCAAACTTCCGATTGCGTGTGAATTGTGGGGGGCACGCGCGCACGCCTCGCGCTTTTCGGGTACACCGTGTTGTTCGCACAACTCCGATTAGCAGAGCAGATGGCACCGTGAGTCGAGTCGTTGCGCCTCCCCCCCCCCC